CAACTCAAAGCAAGGAAGCAAGATCAGCACCAGGGAGGTTTGGGGGTACAGAACAAAAAGCATAAGTAGTTTTTTAATAGAATCAACATGGGGCAAAATCACTTTCTACCAAATTTAAAAAAAAAATACTTAATTCATCTTGGCATAGATCTATTTACATATAATTTTCTTACAACTGGTCAGAAGTTTCTCATTTGGGGCACTGTTATACCTATACTTAACAGCTCTCGGACTAGGCAAAGCTAGCCCTTCCTCCCCACAGGAATTTCACCAATTCTGCTAGTGGAGGTCATCCAAGTAGCCCCTCTCCTGTTGCTCCCACTCCAAATGTCCTTCCAAAGGATAAAAGGGAGGCTGGTACCCTCCCCATAGAGGGGCCATCCAGGCTGTAAGAACAGCTGTCTACTGCCTCAGTCCGCTGCCTCACAGTCAGCTGGCTGAAGCAACCAAACTCAGCAGGTAACCTTTGTGCAAATCCAATACTTGAGCTCAAGTTAGGCCTCGTACTCCAGCCTCTACAGACAGAGTACTTTATCATTAAATGTTTGTGCTTTCCTTCCATCAGATGGGCAGGAGTCCAGCCTTATCTTCCTTCTGGGCCCTACCCTGGAGCCCACCAGCTCACCCAGCTGCCAGGAGGTACCCTTGATACGTATTAGCTCCATCCTGGAGCAGCTAAAGAATTAACTCCACTTATCTGAAGTCCTCTGTTTATGCCCTGTACCTACCCTTCTTTCTCATCTTATACCTCTACTCGCTTTTGTCCTCTCTTGCATTTGGTGTGGTTACATAACCCTTGTCAGCCCTCATCTCCTCCACCTGAAGAGGTGAGCACTGGCACACCTGAGCCTTGACCCTCTTAAAAAGGCCCTTAACACCAAGACAATCACAGTGCTTTCACCCCATGCTTCTGGTGATGTGGAAAGGTATTTCCATGTAGCCAAACCCAAAAAAACATTGTGTCTTGCATTTTCCAGAACAGGGATTGTGCTGCAGAAGAACAATGGGCTGTGACTTTAGCGAAATCTGTGGCAAAACTGAATACTGAACCTTGTTTGCCAATACCTCCCTAACACTTGTAACCACAAGAACAGCTTCGTTCTCAAGCCAACGCTGCTTCCTCTTTTTTCAGCATTTCACAAACCTTAAGGTTCCTACTATGTCTGGAAAATAGAAACAATGCTGTGACAATGCTGGGGTTAGTTTCGCTTGATTTCTCAACAGCCATCTCATGCTGAGTTGTTTACACCACTCTGCCTTGGCCCTCAAGGTTACCTGTTTGAGGAGGTGAATGCTGCCCTGTTGAAACAGGTTAATGAAATAAACCATGCGAACAGTTATCTCCTGTGGAGTGCTGCCTGGGTACTGGCACTAGCAGGCTGGCAAATAACTGTGTTTTTCTCAAAAATAAATTATCCCCCAAAACTAATCTTTTTCTCCTCAATAAGAAAGTACTTCCATAATCCTGCAGTTGCTCGTAATCCTGCAATAAGCCAGGTCAGCAGGATTTACATGGCAGCTTTTTGTGTGTATCAAGCTCCTGTCAGAACAATGCGAGTTCACTTGTGCCCTTACATGGGATGCCACTGAGACAGCTTCTCGTGCACTCTCTCTTTGTTGCATTTGTTTTCTAGTCTAATGAATGGTGAGCAGTTAGTACATATGAGATAATAACGTGCAAGCAAACAATCTGTTTATTTTTTTAGGTAAGACCTTTGTTGTTAGCGGCCAACGGGAATTAATTTTAAAGGGAAGCTGACAGGCAGTCTGTTACACTGTTTTCTTCAGCGTGTTACTTTAGTATTGTTGCTTGTAGTCAGCAAGACTGGGGCACTGGTCATGAAGCCCAACTCGACTGCTGTTAACATCGCTGGAAAGCCTGACTTTGATGTCTTTTTCTTATCTGTGATGTTTGTGTATATTGAACAATCCCATGGCAAACACTTGGGACTTGCTTCATAGGAGCATCTCCCGAGGCAATGGAGCAGTCCCCTTGTCCTCCTCTCTTGGGACTGAATTTTCCTTCTGGGAAAGCTACCGCAGATATCTCTGCCCTACGTAAGTCAGACCTACTGAGTACAGCAGGGCTGCTTGCACGTACCAGCTTGCAAAACTGGGCCTTAGTAGTAAGAGTGAAGCCAGTCAATTTAACAGCGGCCCCAGGGAGCTATTGCTTATTGCTTTCCAGTAGTGTCCAGGACGTTCTCCCTGCTTTCCAAGTAGTGAAGATGTCATGTCACTTTCCCTGCCCCATGGTGTTTGTAAGGAATGATTTTCAGTCAGAGCTGATTTGAGATGGCGCAGCATTTGTGTCCCAGTGAGGAAAGCTCACGTTTCAATGTCAGGCCTGTGACTAAATCACTCTCCCCTACCATCAATTTAGTAATCATCAGTTACCAGTGTAATCTCCAGGCACAAGGCTATCCTTTCCTTTCCCTTCAATGCTTTTGATCCTTTCTTTATGAAGAAGTCAGGAAAAATCCGTTCTAGCTAAAATTGATTCTGCAAGGGGACCGACTAGGCCACCACTCCAAGTATTTGCAGGCAGTAGTTTTCTCCGAGAGCATCGTGGAATACAACGCATCCACCCCACCACTACCCTTGCCTTTGGAAATCATTGCTAGGTCCGAAAAAGCATCAGTGACACTTGAAAATTCAGAAGAGTGTCCGCAGAGCAGGAGCAGGGATCCTAACTCCTTCACAGCTGAAGCTCATTGAGAATGGCAGAACTCCCATCCAGAGCACCAAACAAGTCTGCAACAGACTTCCAGGCACATCACCGCTCGTGTACAAAGCCGTCAGGTGACAAATGCCCCGTAAATAGGTCCAGGGGAAGAAAGCTTAAAATGCTTTGATTTTGCATTCAGAAGAAATGTTTGCCATGCAGACGTTTTAGCAAATTCTGTAAAATCTGTGTGAAATCTTGGAGTAGACCTGTCCATTGACCTTCACAAGGAATACCTACAGGGCGGTTATGTAAAATACATTGGCTCCCTGTGGCAGTGTAACAAATGCTGTATTTTCAGTGCTTTCTCCAAAAGCTGCCCCCAAAAGTTTCTTCTCTAACCGTTTACCAAATGACCTGTCCTTCTCTTTCTCAAAGCAGATTGAGTCAAAGTTTTCACCAAAATGATGCACTTTCAGGAAAGAACTTAAAGGTGATAAGACGACACCCAGCACAGGATCAGGTCCATAACTCAAGGTTTAACAGGTCATAGGGAGAAGACAGAGAAAAATAGGGGGAAGAAACAAGTTAGTCCAGATGTAGCTCTAGTCCTCCCCTCACCACAGTAGCCAGCGGCTGGAACCACAGGTTTCAGTCTCATCCCACAGGCCTGGGCACAGCAAAACTCACGGAACAGCTCAGTGCCACTGAACCAAATTCCTTTGTGCATGGAAAAACCCTGCTGAGTGGTGTGACAGAGCCTTTATTTCCTGTGAAAACACTGACTTTGCTTCTGCAGCGGCCAAGCAAGGCAATATTGCAGGGTGTATGGGGGGTTACTTCTCAGTAAAACCACATCCAAGAACCACTCTTTTTCAGTGATCTGAAACAGAGAAATCAGCAAGGAAATAAATACAGGTATACCTGCACCCCTTCCAGTGCCAAACCACAGCTGTTACGAGTCTGACAGAGAAGCAGAGGGAACACGAGCGGTTTTCATTACTCTACCACAAAGATCACCATGCTAGGACTTAAGAGACAAAGTAGATGAAAGGTATTGGCACTCTTACCTCCTGTAACTCTGTCTTGCAGCTGGCACAGAAGGGCAGCAAGTTGCATAAATCACAGCCATTTTGTGGTCTGACGATCTAACTTTGAACTGCCTTCTCCCTTGGCTGCTGTGAAGTAATGGGCATTTTCTCTCAGTACACCACAGGGAAGTAAGTTTTTCCTACTTGGATTTCACCCATCTCTTCTCTCAGAAGTACTTGCCGTGCTTTGTCCCATGACTCATAACCAACATAGCTGTACCAGCCACTGCCTTTCCCCCCCCCCCCCCCCCAAACAACTATGTTAGAAAAGCTTCACAGTACAGACTGCTCCAGACACCTCTTTTTGACAGTACCTGCAGAGACTTGGCATGGGAAGATCATCCCATGTGATCACATGTGCTACTTGTGCTACTCTACCTACTTACGGTGACAGCCAAAGACCACTGTAGAGGTCAGGGTAAGTTGCCTGCCAAAACCATCTCCTAGCAGAAGACACTTCATAAAAGCAAAATTTACTGTCCTCCCAAGCTAACGTGTTCCTCTGGGCACACCAGAGGTCAGTTTCAGTTCTCCAAAAATCTCTTCATAAAATAGTTTCTTTTTGTTCAGATCAAGGTGATTCATATCACAATAGTTCAGCTGCCCCTGGAACAGCCATTCAGTATGAAGAGCACCTTTGCATTGATCTCAGCGTCCCATGAAGAGCAGGATGCGGCATTTTTGTTGGTTACAGATTCTATGTTAAGCATACGGATGTAACAAGAAATCCAAGCACAGTCAAGCATTTTATTGGTGTTGTCCCTAGATCCTAGAAATCTGCCACAGTGATGAAATCTGTACTTTTAGATATTTACAAAAACTAATTACTATAACTAGCTCTGAAATGATGTTTCTGGACCAATTCAGACCTGCTGTCCATTCAGTTTCACATTTTGGAATTGATTAAACAGATCCTGAAAAATAAAGTCCTTTCATTGCTGAATACATGGGACTCTTTCCTGAGTAACTGGGATGGCAAAATAGTGTGGAGGAGAACTTCAAGTTAATATTAGGTAGATTCAGCTTCCACATACTGTTTAAGAAACAAGAGTGTCAAAACAAGCATCCAGGTTCACACATTAGCCTTTTCCTAAGTACTTTAAGAGAGATGAATCCCATGGCTTATCATAAAATTCACATACCTGTTTCAGATAGAGATAAAAGTCAAAGCTTTGTCAGAGCTATTTTAAGAACAGTTGTCTGAATCCAATAGCACTTGTATGGTTATAATAATAAACTCAAAAAACATTTTAAACAAAGAATTTTAATAATTTCTCTATAACAAATAATTAATCAAATAGGCCGAATCCCATGTCATCGTCAGATTCTTCAGATTCCTCCTTCTTCTCTTCTTTCTTCTCCTCAGCTGAAGGAAAAAAAAAAAAAAAAGACCAAGCCAATGGTCAGTATTTACATTTTTTGCACCACAGATTTTCAAGATACACATTTTGGTGTTCGCAGCTTCTGTATCATTGGTATTTCAGCCTCCATGGTTCATCTCATTCCCTTTCGATAGCCAAATACAAACACCGAGGGGACAGACACTTCTACTGAAGGGATGTGCTTTACACAGTGAAGTCTGTCTGATTCTCAGTTCTAAGCCAGACCAATCTTAAGGTGGATAAAGAGCAAATGCTTCTGATTGCCCAAAGGAAAAGCAACTGTTCAGTTTACACTTCAGTCACATAGTGAACTGCCAATGTGGAAAAGCCTTGAAATTTGGACTCAATTGTTAAGATTTTAACAGAGAAAAACGGAGCTGCCCTGTAACAACGCCTCTCTGTGCATACTCACCGGCAGCAGGGGCAGCAGCTGCAGCAGGAGCAGCAGAGCCCCCTCCAGCAGAGACTGCCACAGCTCCCCCGGCCGGCATGCTGGCTAGTTTTCCATTACCTGAGTGGGACAGAAGAGAAAGTATTTAAATGCTCATCACAAGCACAGAGGTAAAGTGAGAAGGAAGAGAAATGAGAGTGCAGAAAAAACAGATACTATGTCTCATGGACTGAACCTGTCACGATGAGCGGAAAGGAACAAGAGGCTGCACCCATGATAAGAAAGTATAAACTATTCTGTGAAAAAAAACTCAAGAGTTTAAGATTCACAAAGGCTTATCCTGAGACACTGACAGCACGTTAATAGTGAGTTTTCTTCTGTACACAAAGTTCCCTATCTTTTTTCCAGAACTGAAATATAAAAATAGTGGCAAACATCTAATTTTACACATACAGAAAAACTGTATGTTTTCTGAATACAGTGTAATAGCCCAGAAATTCATAATTTCAATATACCTAAAAAATAACATGTAGGCAGCACTGGCTTCCCCCCCCCTCTTTTTTTTTAACAGTATAGAGAACTGTGAGGGAATGAGTGGATCACACTGACAGGAGAAAAGGGGGGGGGGGAGAAGATGTATTTATGGCAAAGAGTACAGTATTTTAAACAAATTCTCCAGCACCCTAGGAATCCCACTGCATCGCCTTTCATATTAGGTCTTCTGGTTTATGCTCATCTTTGGAAAGCTAGCTAGTTCTCTGGCATCTGCCTTTCACATACCAAGGCTCCCTTGGCATTCAGAGGTCGCGTACACAGTATGTTTCCCTGTATTCCAATTTCTAGGAATCAGTTTCTAAATAATTCCCTGTTACTTCAAGCTCTAATAAACTAGCCAAGTAAACAAACATGTTTCATATGCATGTCAGTATGTTCTAGGAAACAATTTGTTTAAAGGAAAAGTATTACAGAAAGAGATAGCGTAAGTGTGTTGTAAGCGCATGCATAATGACTCACTTAGGCCTTCAGACCACACGGATAGAAATGTCCAGTTACTCTTTATAACAGCAAGGCCAGGCAAAGTCCTGGCAACCTTTAAGCAAATATATGCCTAAAAGTTCCCTTGTGCCAACGCAGTTGCAAAAAAAATAGAAATTAATTAATCGGAAATCTTTGCACTACCTCAGCTCTGCTTTATTTCAGCCTTATGACCCAGTCAATTAATGTTAAAAGTTCCAGCTTCTGTAAGAGCCAGCAGGTAAGAGCACAAGCTTCTACAGAAGTCAGCACTCAGGGTCCTGTCTTAGGGAAAAGGAAATGCCAGACTTGGGGAGCTCTAGAAGAGATGTGTATAGAGAGGCTGGTATTAATCGCAGAGGGTGTAACTGTACCCTTCATGTGAATTGACACTTATCTACATTTAACAGCCTGTTCTTCCTGTTTTACATAATTGGTGCATACAAGTGGGTAAATGCAAAGAAAAAATCTCCCAGAGAACTTGAAGGACAGCTCATTCTTCCTCCGATCAACATGTCCAGAAAACTACATCATGAGCAAACTACCAGTAAGCTCATACATGCTTAAGTTTTCCAGTTTAGTGTGGTCCACAAGCGAAGCCCAGCAGGTACTGGCACCAACCTGCAGGGAATTAGAATGGACCTGGATTTCAGTCATTTCAGCTGAGATCCAGCATGGAAGTCCTCAACCGCAAAGGTAAACTGACGAACAACCAGGGAGTTGGCAGCAATTCTACGCTCTCAGGTCTAAGTTAGCAAAGTAGTAGAGGCAGTTATCTGTGACACTCAGAGACTGTACTTACCCTGAGCAATGACATCCTCAATGTTTTTTCCATTCAGCTCACTAATAACCTGTGGAAATTAAGTTTTGAATGTTAATAGTTTCACAACAGCATGAGTATAAGCTACATTTAAAAAAGTACTGATTAATCATCATGTGCATTGCCTCCATCCTGCTGCTTGTACAGCCCCAACATTCCTTATTTCTCAGTGGAAGGAACAGGGCATTGAAATGAAAATTTCAGCTAAGTCTTTCATGCTTTTCTGTGAAAGCTTTTTAATGAAATCTGTCATGATAAATTCATAATTAATCTAAAGACTGTGCAGAAAGAAGGATACACAGATATTGTGGAGCCAATCAGGAAACCCCACTAACGGTCTGTCAGTCACTGAGCAACTGTTAACATATCTTGCTTAATACCCGCTGGGAGGCCCTGAAGCACTGGACCCCAGACCAAAAGCCACAGGGTCCTGTTCCTAGCGCTACCAAATGTCACAGCCAAGCCGGCTATTGTATCCTTGCACTGGAACAGAGAGTCCCAACTTCAATTTTACTACCATTGTTGTATAACCAGGGATGAGGAAAGCAAAACACCAGAACAAAAACTGGTAAAGCAAGCAAGCACTTTAAAAAAACAAGCAAACAAAACCCAAAAGAGAATGCCACAGACCCTACTGGTGAGTCCCTGCTACCAGGAGTCAGTGCTGAACACTGCAGAATCGCCAAAGGACTTTAACTAAGAGTTTTTCAACAGGCACCGCCTGCTTACACAGAGTGTGAGATCTGTGAAATGCCGTGCCTGTGTGCTTCCTTCATCTGGAAAGAACGTGTTTTTAAGACTTCACTAGATTTACACTGGTCTAAGATACAGCCAATGCAAATAAAAAAGGGTTAATTAATCATGACCAAAACAAATTCCAGAGAAGCTTTCTGAATACTGGAGGATCAGAGAAAACAACTACTTTATGAAAGTATTAAACAAACGTGAACAATCCAACGCTGAAAGACCTGGCATTTAAACAGAAGCACCACGAGTTCATACCAACATCCCAAACCATAAGGATGCTGTCAGCTCAGTCAACTCATGGTTTGGTTGGGCCAATGGTAAAACACGGTCTCCAGCTGCGAAAGTAACTTGGTGGGTTTTTTTTCATTCCACCTCTCTGGAAACACTCAGCATACAAGTATAGGCCAGGTGATAAGACCATTTTCTTTTGCTTTTTTTCTTCCCCATGGACATTTATTTTTAAGTCCACAAGGCTGAAAGTCTATTATATCACAAGAAACACTCTAATTAAGATACTCTCTTCTTAAAAAGCCTGTTTTTCAACACAACCATTTCAGCATTAATTTCCAAAATCTTCCTACATATTATTATTGAATACCTTTAATGTCCACGTTATAATTTGCCTATGTTTCTTGGTGACAGAACAAATGCTTCTTTGCAGTACACTAAATAAGAATTTATTACTGAAAACCAGGCCTTCAGGTGTTAACTTTGAATCAATACTAACCAAAAGCCAAAATTAAATATTAAGCACAAACTATACATTACGTCAGAACAGAACGTATTTTCAGTACATATTAATCTGTAGCCACCATCCCATTGAAAATTATTAGATTGATCAGCCAGAAGTCAGCAACAACTGACAGAGATCTTTGTGGAGGACAGGTGTTAAATAAGAAAGCCAGGCTTCTACAAAAATGTTGTAAAAACAGTTCTGATTGGCTAAGCAGTGAATTTAGCAATCGCACATATAACATCAGCGAACATCTGAACAAAATAAGCTAGATTAACAGCAAGGCAGCTGAAGAAACACTGAAGCCAAGGAAACAGCTCCAATGTCTGATACTGGCTGGAACACGACCATCTGGAATTAAGAGGCAACGCCACCTTGTTCATGCGTTCATCGTCCGTCTCAATGCCAACGCTGTCGAGGATCTTTTTCAAGTCCTTTGACGTGGGAGACTCGTTGCCACCGAGGACCGCTAGAAGGTAAGCTGCGACGTAACGCATCCTGGAAAACAAGAGAACTGGGCCTTCAGCGCTAACGATCTAATTACACGTTCGCAGGAAGTTTATCTTCTCGCTGTGGAAGCAAACCTCGCCCTGCTGGCTGCAACTGTTTTGCTCTACTTTTAAATGCAAGCCCACGACACGCGAGGCCGCGTACCGGCCTCCTGCCAG